TCGTCATTTCTTGTTTCATCATCAGCACCAGGGATGGTTTTCGTGGTCCCACTCTATTGACTTGCTTTCAATCCTCCTGCTATTTTGGATTATTGCGAAAAATTGCGGTGAAGAGTGGGATCAGGCTTATTAGTTCCTACAGCTGCGACCAATTCTCCGCCATACTCCTCGCAACCCTCACTAGACTACGTCACCAGTGTGCCTGCACATCCTACGCCGAAAGTTATCGACAATGGCGTCTGAGCTTTTTCGAACTTAAAGGCACATTTTGCGACTGTAAGTCGTAGGTCATGTTGATCAAACACAGCAGTTTATGTGCTATTCGAGTTCCCACTAACAGAAATAGCGAAGAGAGCCGTCAAATACGCCGCAAATTAGGCCATCCATTTTGTAGATGACTGTGAGCTAGAGAAGAAATTGTTGAGGTTCTGGGATACCAGACAGGAGGGCCGCGTGAGCACCTGAACAGGCGAGACGACAGGCACCAACCGGGGCGGAGCCTCTCGCGCTATGGGCACTTGGGCAACCTTTCCTCTCAACTGCTTAACTATGAATTTCTGACGCGGAGGTGGCGGAAGATTTCCCATTGCGATCTTTTTCTATGCACGGAATTGGTTCCTATCGCGAAATGCACCCCGAGGTCTGCTAGCCCTATGTGACATCCAGATGTAACTCCTACCCAGTGCATAGGCTAATCCGAGGGCTTACGGGAACCTTTCCATGCTATGCAGGCTTATGGGCTGAGCCTGACCGCGCGTAATCGCTTTCTTACCACGGATTACATGGTCTTCTCACACAGAGATTCAGTGAAACCCATGCGAGAAACCCAAGGAGAACAAAGTCGTGTTTATCTACTGCTCAAGTACTGTTCTCATAGTGTTCAAGTGCATTCCAGAGCGATAACAACACCGTGAATCAACTCGTCGAACAGAAAAACAGAGAAATTGAGAAGTTGTTGGATGCAAACGACGAACTCAAGCTATTGTAAGTCAATTTGTATAACCTCTTGATTTTTAAAGACTTTCTAGTGAATTCTTTTTTTCCAAATGTGATGTCTTGAAAATTGTCAATGTGTGTGAGCGTCATCAAAGTGATGTCACTTAACTTAACTGGCACAACCTAAAACTAACGAAACTTCAGGCTCAGTTCTACTCCTTCTTCTGCTCCCATCACCACTTGGTCAGAGCATGTTAGGTTGGCGACTTAGGTTACGTCCCGCCGTCGGGGGAAAACTCCTCCGCAGAGACCCACCCCCTCAAAAAATTCGCCTCTCTGGCACGACCCCCACTTTATCCCCTTTCCCGTCTACTATGAATCCTGGATTCCTCCAACCGGTGAAAACTTGGGGAAGATGATTAATAAGGCATCCTACTACGCCGGGTCCTTTCCCCCACCCTTCCCTTCCCTCAAGAAAACTGCCGTTGAGCGAGGAGGGTGGGGGAGTTATGATACTGCGCACTTGAAACAGGATAAACAGGAACCAAGAGAAGTCAGCAATCAAAAGCATTTTTCTCAGAGGCAGATCAACTCTCTCCCAAATACGACCCCCTTGGGGCTACCCAGTTTCCAACCACCAATACGAGACCCCCTCCCTGTGCTGGGACCGGTACCTAGCCTTCGACGAGCCCTGCCGTTGGCAACGATACAGCTCTTAACAACGCATAAACTGAGCTTTTGCCTTAGAAACACTCCAGAGGGATTCCATTGATACGAGGTGTTCCTGCCACCATACGCAGATGCTCCAACACAGTAGCGACTTTTTTGACTTGTGAGAAAAATACTATATCCATTCCGCATCGTACGGGAGTAAATTACTAGGTGCATACAGTGCTTCAGCGCATATAACAGTTGATCGCCAATTGAAAATCAATAGAAAAAACTTATGTTACGGTTTTTTGTTTGCAGGTCAGCGATTCCCAGACTTCCGCTTCTCCACCAGTTGCCCTGAAGCGGCAGTGATAGATTAACATCGAGCGTTTCTTCCAGCGGGCAGCGTTTTCCATAGCGGCTGTGCGTCTCCCGGTGTGGACTGACTGGTACGAGTGGAGTTTCATGGGCTCGGGGGCTCACCCCCAAACCCATCCCCTTGACACGCCCCATCATTTACAAGGATTTAGGCAACTGGATTGGGGCAAAAGTTTCTGACAATCTTGTTTGAGCTATTTCCTGGGATTTTCCCAAAGGTTCTACAAGTTCTCAATAAATATAAATATAGAGAAAATACAGCAGTGATAGTGCACCTAATAGTATTATACACTTTGGATTACAAATGAGTGATGGAAATATCTTTGTCACTATGAATTTAATCGTTTTTTTTTGTTATCGGAAAGTGTAGGGTAAGGAAGCGGGCAAGTTTGTCGTCTAGTGTGAAGTGATAGAAATGACATGTCGAGCAATTCAAGTTGATTAATGCCCAGTAATGATATCTGACGTGAAATAAATCAGTCTGACATGTAAACCTGCACAAAAGATAGTCACATGTGTTCATCCTATGATGCTAACATAAAAACCAATCAAGTTAGACTAATAGAAAACTCAAAGTACTAAATAGATCCTTTATAATATTAATTGTTATTGCTAAGTAACAGCGGTTACAGTTGATATCGTCGCAATCATTCGAAACGGTATCACGAGGCATGGTATGAGCGCACCGCGACCATTGGTTGCTTCCTTCCTGAATCGATCACTAACCGATCACTATTGGTACATCCTCCAATCGGGTGCTCATCCCGCCATTCCACCGCCCGACTGTATATTATCCGCCCACCTCGGCGCAGGCCCCGCCCACTGTGTGTGATCCCGCAGTCTCTTGCCTGTCTTAATTTACCTTTTCTCCGTTTCTGGAGTGCTCTGAAACCGAACTACAATTTCTTGAAATGAGTATCTTATGCTTGAGGGCAAGCACTGCCTATTGTGTGCGGGTGTCAACGCTCCATAAGCATGCTCAATTTTCACCAGATATTCTCAGACCCATCAACTTGTTTGGGATTCCTAAACTTTCTCGAAAACCGATTACTGAATCCGCGGGGCGCACCGCCCTCTCAAATACGCCCCGCTCATTCCGGGTGTACCTCCCCCGTTAGTATGCCAACCGCTTGCCAACCTTATTCCACTTTTTCCCCATCTCTGGGCTGCTCTGGAAGCGAATTATGAATTTTTGTCTGCGGCACCGCCAACTTTCGGCGCATGCCCCGCCCACTGTGGGCGGGGCTTCGCATAGGTCAAGTGTGCTCTTTTACATTCTTGTCCCATGCCTACCCATCCCCACCTTGACCCGACCTCTCCAAGTTGTTCTTCAGGTCGAACCGAATTTCCGGACAAACAAACAAACAACAGACGAAGCAAATTACACATAGTGGGTGATCACCACATAACGGTTACAAGCGTTATTATTGTTACCACTATATTATAGTTACAACAGTTATCACTGAATGTGATTAACATTTTTTGGGGGTCTAAGGCGTACCCATGTATAGGGCGCACTTTCGCTTCGAATCGTCGGTGTGATCAAAGGAAAAATTCATCCTGGGTAAGAACTCTGTGGAAACTGATTGGAATGTGTAAATCAATGTGAAAAAAGATAAAAAGCAGCTGTTGTACTCGGAAAGTTCTCGCGCGCGTTGCCATGTGGGTGTCTGCGAGCATGCTGATAAATGCGCCTTGTACCCCAAAAAAAGGGAAATAGTCTATACATTCCTATCAGGATTCCATTTAAAATTGTGATGCTAAGAAAATACTTTTTACTTTTACCATGACAGCAGCGAAGTACTGTTCTTGAGGGCATAAAGGAGTAACTGCAACCAAGCGTATTAATTATACTAAGTATTCAACTGTTAATGTAATTTTATACATACTGGTGTTAAGTAAACCCTGTACTGGTATACTAAGTTTCCTTCATTTCAGAG